AACCGTAAATAGAAGTAAGATTTACAAATACTCTACTCTTTCTTTACAAATACTCTAATCTTTCTTTGGATTTTATTTTGAAAATGTACTCTCAACACTATTTTTGTTTCAATTTTTTTTATTGGACTCAAAATGTGACGAAAGCGATATAAATCAGAATAAATAACTGCATTTATAATATTTTCAATTTTTTAATAAAAAAATAATTAATTCATTGAGTTCTATATTTAGAAAAATTCAAATCGGCTGGTCAAAGTCATCCGTCATTTCTACATTGTTTTTTGTGTACTTTTCAGTCAAACTTTGATTCTACACCGTTGATTGAACGTCATGGCATTGGCATGATGTAAAGGTGTTTGTTAGAATCGAATTCACGCACACAAGAGAAAGATATAAGAGCGAAAGAGAAAACTCAATATTTTGTGGTAACACCCCGTAAGTAAATTTTCACGGCGATGAGGTATATTTATATTAATAAATCAAGTATTTTTTATTGCAGAGAATAAATAGAGAATAAACTTTTATATATATTAATCAGGCTCCATAACCTAACAGTTTGATTATTTTGGAATTTAGTGGGTAAATGGCGAAAATGACCTTGGCGTAGAGGAGGAATTACGAGTAAATTTTATCCGCATTAAACTTTTTATATCAAATCAATATATGTATTCATGTGTTTAAATTTATTATTTATTTTATTTCATTAAATCATGAATTGGTGTGAAACCCGATACAAGTAAATTTTTTCCGAGGAATTACATAGTATCTCGTTAGATAATCACCATATTTATATTATTTCTTTCTCATACAAAGTGCCTATATGCTAGCGGAATATCCGGGAGAGGGCTTTTTGGTCTAACCATTTGATCGGATTGATTAAGAGAAACAACTCATGTAATATTTATAGAAATAAGTGTCAAAAATATATCTAAACAATTTTTTTTTAGTTTCATACTTGAACTATAAGAGTGTGAATTTCATACCTAAATTATCACTTATTAGTAACATTTAAGAAATACTAATAAATGATAATTTAGGTATGAAACTCACATTTTCAATAGTTCAGGTATAAAACTCAAAAAAAAATAGATTTATTTTTTCATTCATCTCTTATTTATAATATGAAAAAGGGCCTTAAATATCTCTTTAACTATATAAATTGATTTTTTAAAAAAAAAATAATATGCCATTCATATTTACTAATGATTTGGATTCCTAGACTCGACCAATTGGCTCAACCATGTTTCCTATTTATTTATCACTATTATATGCTTGTCATATTTTTTAAGAAATATATTTTTGACCTGTTTTCTCATTATGGCCTCTTTCCTTTTATTATTGGTATCAATAGATCATAAAACATATAGTAATAATCACTAGACATATGGGTTGAGCGAATACAAAAGGAACAAAGACAATTGCAAATACATTTAAATATTTTGATACATAGTGAATACATAAAGAAATAGATACAGTTGATACAAAGTGATATGATATTATTGTATTCATTAATACAATCTAATATAACTTAACACTATTGTATCTGTTGATACAAATTAATGATATCAATTGTATTCATAATAATACAAGAAATATAATATGTATTCATCCTTTCACTCACCTCTCGCGTCTCACATCCTTTCATCATGTAGCTAAGAATCTAATTTAACCGTGTATAAATCTAGATCTATAATAAAGTCTAACTATAGTTATTAATTCATTATCGAAAATTCCTTTAAAAAGCAACATTTGACTAACGGGCTAGTAATTAAGGAGGAAATAATTTAGTTGTGGATGACAATGGGTTTAGACAGATGCGGGGTGGGATGGGTTTAAGGTTGTGAGGGGCGAGTCAGATGCGGGGCGGGATAAAGTGGATTTTTAAAAATTAATGTGAGGTAGAGCGGGTTGCGGGTTTATGTAATTTTATATGAGTTCAAACTTAACTTTGCATGTTATAAGAGTGATAAAACATTATTTATTAAGATAATTTCATTAAAGCTACTAAAATATTCAAGATAATAAATGAAAATGGTTCAATATAAAATAATACAATTTCTTACTTGTTTCCCAATTGACCTCTAAAAAGTAAAATTTTAAGTCATTATCCTATTAAATTAATACAACTTAATGAAAAAATGAATTTAATTTTTTAGTTTCAAACATTACTAGAAAAAAAATATGAAAAGAATTATGCGAAGCGGGTTGAAAATGAAAAGGATTGTTATGCAAGACTGAGCGGACTAAATTAAAATTGTAAAAATTTAAGGAATCCCATAGTGTAATTCAATAATTACATTTTGTCCCGATAAAATTAGTATTTACAAAAAATCACTTAAATTTGTTGTTTCGTGATACTTTAGACTCTAGTGATACATGGTAAATGATACATGGTAAGTTTAAACCGTTGAGAAAAAAATTGAGAAAAAATGGTACAATTAATGTTGTTACTAAAACAACTTAATTTAAGGTAACAGATCATTAATCACCATAAAATCAGCACGTAATTGGATAACATTCTCCCCTATGTATAAGGTAACATATCATTAAACATTTGGATAATATTCTCCCCTATATATTTTTCAAAGTCCTTTAGGAAATTGTTGTTAAAATTGTCAGCAAATCTTATGAGTTGTGTTGATATCTTTTTAATCTTGTACTTCAGTGGCTGCAATTTGAAAATAAAACAGCAAATTATAATGATATTGAAATATAAATACTAAATAAAACAACTAATAACTTACTGATACATGGTTTCAGTTTTCAGAAATTCATACTACATGAAAAACATGTGATACATGTCTACTACATGTATCAGTGAATTAACTAAAACATTATAACATGTGATACATATCTAATACATGTATCAGAAACATCGCCTAAACAATATACACATTGATTCTATATGTATCATCAAGTACAGTGGATGAAACATTTATTAAACTTAGTGAATGATACATTATAACAATTTTCAAAACATGTATCAGTTCATCTGCTTGCCTCCAAGAACAAGAAGATTACCAAATTCATCTGCTTTTTGATTGTTCGTTTAATCTTTCCTCTGATTGGAATTTGTTTCTTCGGTAACTGAATTTGAGGGTTTAGGGTTTTTATTTTTGGGAGTTGTTAAGCATGTGGGTTTACGTTGAAGTTGCAATGGCGGAGTAAGTAATCTTTAAGAGAAGGAAGATGATTATGGAAAAAAAAAGAACTGAAACTTGATGGAGTAAGAACAAAACGGGAGAAGTTAAGAGAAGTTGTTCTGATTTTTGAAATTTCAAAATTTTTGAATTTTGAAATTCAAAATTTCAAAATTGGGTCTTTTATTTAAAATTAATTAAAATTAATAATTCAAAATCAAAAAACTGATTTAAAAGGTTGAGTGTTTAAATGGAGAAAATTCAAAATCCAAAAACTGATTTAAAAGAACAAAACGGGAGAAGTTAAGAGAAGTTGTTCTGATTTTTGAAATTTCAAAATTTTTGAATTTTGAAATTCAAAATTTTTGAATTTTGAAATTCAAAATTTCAAAATTGGGTCTTTTATTTAAAATTAATTAAAATTAATAATTCAAAATAAAAAAACTGATTTAAAAGGTTGAGTGTTTAAATGGAGAAAATTCAAAATCCAAAAACTGATTTAAAAGGTTGAGTGTTTTAATGGAGAAAAATAGGCATTAAAATGGATAATTGTGTATTATAGGAGAGAGAATGTAATGTATCTATAAACTTACACTAAAATTAAAAAAAAAGAATTATGTAATATTTAAAAAAAGAAGGAAAAATTAGAGAATATAAAACTTATAGTTGTGTATTTAAGTTATTTTTCCATTAAAATTTTACGAATTAAGCTCAATCCGTACTACACCGTCCCATTTTCATACCTATTTAGTTTGGCTTGCATGAACAAAATTTGGGCCAAGGCCCTAAAACGCCAACCTACTCCCCCACTTAGAGTCCTCATAATACTTGATCCAAGTCCGGATTTTTTTTTTTTGCATCCATCATTAATACTATATTTTAATAAAGGAAAAATTGTATATATAATAGCAAATTAATCACCTAAAATAAATGGAGTAGCTAGGATTTGATTTAATTGTGCTCCATAGTAAACGTTTGCAAAAAATTATTAGGCGCCTCTCTCCCAAATATCTCGCTCGCCACTCTCCTTCAATCTTTCGCTCGCTTCCTCACTTTTTATACAAAAACAAGTATATAAAAATTATTTCTAATTGTATAAAGCAGAGAAAATTGTATAAATACATATATTTTTGTTCCCCTCTCTCCCCTCTTTCAGATCTCGCTCGCCACTCTCCTAAATCTCGCTCGCCACCCTCGCCTTTCTCACTTATACAAACAGAAGCGAAATGCCTAAATTGCGTTTCTGTTTGTATAAAGCATGAGAAAATTATATATACACATGCAAGTACATATATTTTCGTCCTATACACTTATAATTATACAATAAATATACTCTCCTGCCAGTTTCTTTTGCCTTTCTCTTTTTCTCGTTTTATACAATTTTCAAATTGTATATAATTTCTCTCTTTCTCGTTTTATACAATTCGATTCAATTGTATATTCCTTGTCAAGTCTCTTTTGTCTTTCTCTCTTTATCATTTTATACAAATTCAAATTGTATATAATCGTTCTATACACTTATAATAATACAATTCGTTTTATACACTTCGTTTTTATACAGTTTTCTGCCCAAGTGTCTTTCTCCTTCTTGTTTATATACTTCGTTTTATACAATTTGCTTCAACTGTATATATATAGCGAATTATACATATGTTTGTTATGGAGCGCAATTATGCAGACTTTACTATAACATACAAATATAAATTTTTTATTTGATATATGCGAGAGTTGCTCTTTAATAAATTTATATTTGCATCTTGGACATTACATGTCTTAATGTTGATACATCATTAACTAATTTATAATTTGATGCTAGGCTAATGTTTTGCATAATAATGTCCTTGCACCATAAAAAAATCATTCCACTAGAATAGTTATATTATTATAATACACATAAGAGAAACTCTATGCTTCATAGACAACCAAAAGAACTCCAACAACTTTTATATTACATAGTCATAAACAACCCAAGAACTCAAATTAAACAAAGGAAAAAAAAAAGTCTAATTAACAAAACTCTAGAAAAAAAATTAAGTTGTATATATATATATATATAGGTAGGTCACAACTTAGTTGAAGCTACATGGGAACTTAAGAAAACCATTCCTTTTTTTTTTTAGTAGTAGATCTTAATATTTCAATCTTGATGTCACATACCTTTCTCATCTCAAATTACAAAAAAAATAATAAAATTAGAAAAATCAGCTTAAACCAAAAACCCAAAAAAATTAAAATTAATATGTTTTAAGGTGTTGGATGCCCAAATTTTAGTCATGGTTCTTTTCTACCCAATCTGATCTTCCTAATGTGAACTCCAAGCTAGGGTTTTTCTGATCCAAACTGCAACCTACATAGCTCATTGCTCTTGAATATTCACATTCCTGCAATAATTTCTTCATACATTTAGTACACTTAATATCATGATTTTTAAATATAATTGCGACGGATGACATTGCCTGTTTAGTTAGGTCAAATAACTGACCTGATCAACTTGTTTGAAATTGAGACGTATGTCGTTAGTATACATTGATTAGTGTTAGTTATTTGGACTATATCAATTCCTTTTTCTTTTGTTAAATTAAAAAAAAAAAGTTGAAATGATGTCTTTTTTTTTTATAGGGGAAATGGGGATAAAATCTCCACATATATAGTGAGTGAGTTACTAATTATTATTAAAACATAGAAAAGAGAAGAAAAATAAGGGGGTCTTTAATTAAAAAATTGTACAATTCACATTTCGATTGATTGATTGAAGGTTAAATTTTTAAATCATAATTAACCAAATAACCGATAAACCAATAATACTATAATTCCCATTTTATTTTAAATATTGAACATTATCTTTCGAAATTTAAAATTATAATTTGGGGCTATAACATCATGTTAACATTTGATCGATAGTACTTCCCATGCAAAGTAAAATGAGGAAAACACAAGTTAAAATGTACGTAAATTGATCTTAACAATAATACGAGAAGAGATTGAGGGAAGTACCTCTATATGATGGCTGAATCTTTGTTGAGATGGGAAAGAGGATGATCTGATGAGTCCATTTGATTCATTAAAGTTAGCTTGTGACAATCTTTCTCTACTACTGAAAAATTAAGTAGAAAATAAACTTTACATACTATAATATATACTTTTAAAGTTTTCATACACTCCTTATGAAAAATATTTATATTATAAGATCGTTTATATAAAAATAGAATGAATCGAGTATATCAAGTGATTTTGGGCTTCTTTAGCCCTATTAGTGTACTTTTTTGCTACTCCAAGCCTATTACTCTTCAACCCGTTATCATCCTATCCCCCGAAGGATCAATAGTCTTCTCATTTTCTTAGTATATGGCTTAACTTAAATACTCAATCTATCAATCAACGATAAAAGTGTTCAGTCACTTGAACAAGCCTCACGACTTGTTTTATTATTACTCTCTCCTTCACCATCACTACTCTATCCTCAAAAGAAAAAACCACAATGGATAAAACTAGAAAAATTTGTTTTGTGTCTCATAAGAAATAATTAATTTTTTCACAAGTATGATACTTCATTTATGTTCCAACATGACTTCAAAACTTATATCTTATTAGACATAAATTAGATTATTAAAAAGACAAATACTAAGACCAACATTTTAAGGCGAAAAATTAATGTTCAACTTATTTAGAAAATTAAACTAAAATCCAACTCATTTAAAGAGCAAAATGTGCAACTATCTATCTATAATATCCTAAATCTTCTATCATTACACTCATTTAGCCTAAGGGTTGAGTTATAGACGCTTATATTTTTTCATATTTGTGCGAGTTTTTGAATGTAATATATACATAATCAAGTGGCATAGTTACAGTATTCGACTGACACAATAAAACCAAATCAAGGTGTTATTAAGTAATCAAGGAAAGCAAGTTTTCCAAAAAACGTACTTAGAAGCTATATTTCAAATTTCAAATAACAAGAAAGATATTACATATTATTATTAACTATATATTATTCACATAAGATGTTAAAACACACGTCCTATAGAAACACCATGCATATAAAATTAAAAAAAATACTTTCTAATTAAACGAATGTATAACTTTGAGAAAAGTAGAGCACTTAAGTCAAGAGACAGGTCTTTTTTTTGGACATATATGCTAAAGTCTCCTCGTGAAGAGAATAACAACAAAGTAAAGTAAAAGGGTTTTGTCTATACATTTAATTATATTAAAACATTATATTAATTTCATTAACCAAAATGCAAAGAAAGAGAAAAAAGAAAAGATAAAGTAGTTGTTGCAGTAATTCCATACTACACTTTAATTTATGTAGTACTATTATATATGTTTCTTTAATAAAAAAATATAAGGGGGTACATATGTTGCAAAATCTTCCAGGTGAAAAAAGAAAAATGACAATATAATAAAGAAGCAAAAAAACATAAAAAGCAAAAGCTGCTACTAGAAACCCCTCTTTTTTTATTATATATATATATATATAATTATTTTTTGAATAATTAGAAAATGATTGAAGTACGTGGTTTGCATTTCGTAAATATTCATGCACAAAAGTAAACAGGAAAGTGTGTAAATATCAATTTTATTCATCATTACTTCAAAAGTTAATTATGTCCGTGTGAAATATTTGTTCAAAAAAAATCATCAATTCTAGAAATATTTATCTTCTTTTACTAACATTTTTTATAATGCAAGTTACTATAATAAAAATAATTTATTAGCTGTATTTCATTTTTAATAACTGCTAAATATGTACTTTTAGCCAATGAATTGTCACACTTTGTATATGTCTCTAAAACCTTAAGCAACATTATTTTTAATGACACTTAAATAATGTCTGTAAAGAGTTTATCACTCTTTATTAGTGTCAATATTTAATACCGCTAAAAGTTATTTTTATTATAATGAGTGTATATACATTAAATTCAACCTATTATAGCATTTATATACTCCCTTCGATCCATTTTATGGGACGTGGATACGTAATTAAGTAAAAAAGAAAGACATTTAAAATGTATAATATATTATTATCTCGTTATAAATTATCTCTCGTGCAAGTAAAATGAGAAATATAAAAGCTATTATTTCAAGATAGCTTATTTTGAGACGGGGTAAAAAAACTACATCAAGTAAAATGAAATAACAAAATTTTATCATACCGATCTATGTGTAACTACCTCACGAGCTAACCTAGTTACATAATTATTTATTTACTATATTGTCCGGGCATAGAACGTAAACGTTATGAAAATCAAAAACATATATTCAAAGATTTTTATATAATATAATTTATGTGTTAATTGTACCTTGAGGAGTTGCTCCAAAGAGTTGTAGAAGGTTCATCACATCCATCTAATGGACCTCTTTGATCCAAAATCTTGTCAATAGCTAACAAATCTTCTTCACCTGATCCATCTGGTTGTCGTAAAATAATTAGCAACAGACAATTTTTATCGTCAAATAAAAATAATTAACGATAAACATAGCTACTAAATACTTTTCTTTTTTTAAAATAGAGAGACTGTTTAACAATAATATAGCTATTAAGATAAAGAGACTATTAACAATAAATATAGCTATTAATAATGAGTTAGTGATGGGTTATCAAAAATACAATTAACTATAAGTTATTTAACGATAAATATAGCTATTTTTTTTTATGTAGTGAATTAATTAATTAATTACCTGAGGAAGCTGCAGGTTTGTCAGTAGTTTTAACAGTGCGATACATCTGCATTAGAATAAAAAAACATTTTAGAATTATAACAACAATTCAATAAATACAAAAAAAAAAAAAAGCAATTATTCCCCCATATATTTCCTCACTCTCTAACATATTTGGACGAAGCTAAGATTTGAAGTTATAAATTTAAAATTTTATTTTTTTTCAAAAATATTCCGTAAAAGTTACTACATATTCAATAAACCTAACACAAATACACAATTTAAATTAAAATTACGGAGTATAGTTAAACTCGTAATCCATATTCTAGCTTCACCCCTGCTCACACATAAATATATATAGAGGGGGCGAAATCACGTAGGAGAAGAGGCTCATCCTGAGTATAGTCAAACTCGTAACCCATATTCTAGCTTTACCCCTACTCATACATAGATATATATAGAGGCAAAACCACGTAGAAACAGAGGCTCATTCATAACTTGTTTCGATGCAAAATTACACGATATATAAAAAGATATTTTATTTACTTATTGCTTCAAAAATACTTTAAAAAAAATTGATAAATGTGAGTCAAAATGTTTCATGATTCATTAATCACGAGGTTGATGTTTTTGATAAGGTAACAAGAAGAAGTATTAGTATTATTAATATTATTATTATTATTATTGAATAATGATGACTTACTTTTGTCTGTTTTCTTTTTCTTTATCTCTCTGCTATACTATCAGACTTGTTTTCTTTTAATTCAGTCATTCATTCACTGCATTTTCATCGATTATTGTGCCAACAGAAACAATTCACCCTCACAAGAAGAAAAAATAATAATAATAAAAATAAAAATACATTTATTTACCTGCAAATGACTTTTGACATGAGCTAGAGTGAGATCTTTGACATCCATTAGCTCCAATACTGATTTTGGAGTAGCCCCTAATTAAAAATTCAACATTATTTGACTTCACTACGCAATTTTTAGTATATATTATTAAGCAACAATAATTTTAAAATGTGATGATGAATATGAACATATATGAATGTAAGTTGCAAAAGTGTATTTGAGTTACACTAGTGTAAAAAAAAATAAAAATAAAAACTACATGGAAATTTTCCTGCTAATTTTCATACTAATTCTTAGAAAATTCTCCATGTAATTCACAGTTTCCTGCAGTATCTGTCAAATATCAAATTTAAATCGTGAATCTGTATTCGTAACTATATATATAAACAATGTTCTCATCAAACCTAATGTACCCTAAAATCAAAAATAAAGATTTGGGGTTTCCTTTCATGTACCATAATTAGCCACAAAATAGAAAACATTTTTTAAAAAATGAAATTATTACTCTCATGTACACAAACAAGTGCATTACATATGTAAAAAAAAAAAAAAAACTCAAAGTAGGGGATAGATAGATAGATAGAGTGTTTACTTTCATGTCCACCAAGAAGCTCAACAGCATGAACAAATCTAGCATGAAGTGAAGTTGTCCATCGCATTCGCGGTGCCCTCATGCTTCTTTTAGTTGGAAATTTAGGTAAAAATCTTGATCTCATCAAAAAATTATTACTTTCATGAGAAGAAGGTGAACCTAATAATCCAACTCCGTTATAATATATGTGTTGTTGATTTTGAAATCTATTAGCCACAATAGGTATTCGATTATAAGGAGAAGAGGAAGCAACATTTGTAACATAGGAATTATTCGAATATGATATATGATCCAAATTATTATGATAAATGGATCCAAATGATGATGATCTCTTTGGATCTTGATGATGATGATAAATTGGGATACCCTTTATAGGGTCTAATAAAGAAACCCCATGATAACTATTCATGTTTTGGCTTTGTTGGAGAAAAGGATTTCTTGAAAAACTCTTATTTTCTTCATTATTGGTAGTAGTTGGATGAGCTAAACAAAGCTCAGTCAAACTATTATTATGTGTTGTACGTGTTGATGATGATGATGAATTTGGAGGGCTAATATGAAGAGAAAGATCCGGGGTTTGTTTTGATGAAGATGAGTTTTGTTGAACAAAAACCCCTTCTAAGAGCATATTGGATAGCAAACAAAATTATATGACAATTCAAGATTTGTTCTTTTTTTTTCTTTAATACCTCAAAAAACCCCAAAATTGATGAAAAATAAAAGTAAAAAGTTGCAAACACACATAAACAAGATGTGGAAAAAGAGAGATGAACAAACTTCAAGTTTGATTCTTGATGATAGATTTAGGTGGAAAAAAGAGTAAAAAAAAGCCAAGTGTGTAAGTGAAGAAAAAGTGAAGAGCAAAGATTTTGATTTTTATCTTTTATCTTCTTTTTAAGTGGACATGTTTGTGAAAAAGGAAGAAGAAGAAGGGGATAATGGTGTTTGTGAAAATTAAAACAATAGGAAAAAAAAGAAGAGTAGAAATATGTGTTTTGGTAATAAATGAAAGAAAGGAATCAACAAAGGCTTTATGGAATGAGAAAAAAAGGAAGAAAGGGATAGGAGACTTGTGTTCCTCGAGAAGTACTGTTTATTAGAAAATGACACTTGAACACAAGGCTCATTTCTCTTTCTTGTGTTGTCATTTTTTTTAATCTAATACCCTCGGTCGATATTCATATTATAATTCGACTAATTCAGATTCACACTATACAAAATCTCATTCAGAAGGAAGCACTCTCATGTCTCAAACCTAAGAACATTGATTAAAGACAAAAACAACTTCACTTGAAAAAAAAATTCAATGATTTCTTTCTTTTTCTCCTCTATAGTAAAAAAAATAACAAAAAACAAAGCAATCTAAATTATTGATAACAAAGTTCTTACGTTATTAATACATTCTTTAAAAACGATTTGGTAAAATTTATAACCTTGAGGATAATTTTTTTTTTTGTTTTAATTCGTTTGTCTAGAAAAATATCTTTGTTTAGCAACTCTTTAATTTACTTTTGGACATTGTTGAAAACATAAAAAATTAAAAGGGATTCTGGTGTGTTAACATATATTTATTTTAAGATTCAATTTTTTTTCCTTATTTTCTTAAATTTCGTGTCAAGTTACAACCAGACATACAAATTTAAACTAGGGAAATATATGATAAAATTCATGAATTTTAAGATCTTAAATTTGTTAAATGTGTAATTTATTTGAAATACCCTTTAAATCTTTTGATTTTATGTGAGATTTGTATTAATTAAAATTCAATAATTACAAACTATAAAGAGTAAAACACATACAATAAAATATAAATAAAAAAAATGAAAAAGATGAAGGGTCACTTTTTGGTTGATTTTTCTCTCCGTAGAGAACGGGTTAAAAATGGTTGAAGAGTGAAAGAGACACTCATCTCCCCTTTGATTCTTTTTCTCCCACTCTCTACGCTTCTACTTCTTTGTCTTTTTATATGTTTCGATTTCATTTTTTACCCGACATTATGACTTAATTTTGTAATATCTATATCGAGTGTTTACATCAATATCATCAGATAATACATGACAATACTAGGTGTACCTATATTATCAGTATCATCAGATAATACATGACAATACTAATCACTTATGATATCTATTTCGAATATTTACATCATTATCATCAGATAATACATGACAATGCACTTAATTTGTATATGCATTTATTTATCTTACTTAAGGATGGTAAGTTTATATAGTACGGTTACTAAAATTTATGATTGATTGTACACATACCATAATTGATAATTGAATTATTGAGATAAAGAAAAATTAATGAGTATTATATTTATATACTTGAGCGAAACTTTATTTTTTTTACTATGTATTTTTTTTAATGAGTTGATTTGATGAGATATAAATAAAAAAATTATATTTTATAACACTAATTTTGCTAATGGTGAGTGTACAAGCACACGATGGGACTCGTGGAAGTTTTAACCCCATGTAATGTTCTAAACCTTGTTTTTATAACAAATCTAAAAAAAATAAATTATCTTTTATAATTTTACGTTTAATCAAACAATACTATATAAATTGGCATATATCGAGAGTGTAAATAGTAGTCTACAATAAATAAATGAGATTAATAGCATGAAAAAATAAAAATCTACCCTACTAATTAAGCTAGAATAAATAAAAATTTATTGGTAGTGTCATAATTAGTTTTACTTCCATGTATGTAACTTATATATATATATATATATTTAAAATAAATTTTCCCAGTTTGAAATAGAATGATCTAGTTTTTTAGTCTGTTTAAAAAATAATTATTCTTTTCCTTTTTTGGCAACAATTTAACTTTAACTTCTCATGTGACAAGTAAAAGATCATAATATTAAAGGAAATTTTGATACATTTGACATAATTTCAATTTCAAATCACAAAATTAAAAAATCTAGCTTCTTCTTTTTTTAAATTTCATTTTAAATCAAATCAAATCATTCTTTTTAAAACTGACAAAGTAGGTAAAAATACAATGTTATTTTTGGTTTTAACAGCCTATCCCATTTTGAAATAGATTAGGGGGATGTTAGGTCAAACTTAGACATATGCAATAAAGAAAATAAATGTAGTATAAATATATATAAACATTAAAGTACAAGTGAGGCATTGACTTAGAGAAATTAAAGGCAAGAAGGAGAGTGTGAGAACCACAAAAAAGGGGTATTTGTTCTCTAGTAGTGTAGAATAATATAATATGTGGTGTTAACATGTGCACAAACCTAAAAATAATTAAAACACACACATATTATCTTCTAATTCCATTTTTTTCATACTCCCAAATATTCCCTTCTAATCTTTCAACAACTTTGTCTGGCATCTTGAGTTTTAATATGTCTTCCTTCACATGATCATACACCACTAAATATGAATCATATCCACACACAACTATTAATGTTTTCAAAACCCTAGGCTAAATCAAAGCATTTCTTTATAATTATCATTTTGTTTTCTTTTATTCTAGCTAAGATATATATATTCGGATAGGATCAAACTAGTTATATGTATATATGCATTTACATTATACAAATAATTTATTTTCATCATCGCATCAGTATAATTTAACTTATTATATTATCGTATACGTAAGGGCTCATCTGATTCTTTTTGTCAAAATATTTTAACTTCAATGATGAATATATATAGTATATATTGAATTCCTTTAGCTTATTCGTATATTTACTTTTTGAGAAAAGGTATGACAATATAACCTTCAAACTTTGTTATTTACAATTAATACCCTTGTTATAAAAGTGACACATATATGCTCCTCATGTTATACAAATGGTTCACGTATAATCTATTCCTCTAAAGGAAGTGAAAAAAAAATTTAAAATTTATTTTATAAAAAATATAATCATATATATGGGTATATTTGATCTCTCTCATAGGTACTTTTTTTTGGCTTCTTTTTTTTTATTTCAATGATTAATTTAAAATTATTTTTTTATTGTCAAAATTATTTATGCTTCACTAATTTTCTTGAAAAATTTACTACAAGTGCCCTATTTTATTTTTCTATCAAGAAAGAAATTATATTACAATATAGCCACAAAAAATTAGTACTAATTTTTTTTCTTTACACTAAAGAATGAAATAAAAATACTCAAATAATGATGATAAAAAATGATAAAAATTAATTTATATATGAAAAGTATGAAAATATACTTTAAGCTTTGTTAGAAGGATCATTTATAATCCTCACGATTTAAAAAAAATTAAAGTCAAAAAAATAAATTTAACTAATTTTTCACTTTCGTTAGACAATGAGTACACATGAACTCCTTTTGTTACGGTAGCGATGTATGTTATTTTATATAACAATAACGGTATATATGAACTACTATCATAACATGGAATAACGAGGAATATATCAACATGACAAAATTAAAAGGATATATTTGAAAACCTCTCCAATACTTTTTAATATTTTCAATCCCCTTGCTAATTATATGGCTCTTGCTAGTGATCATCAATTAAGTAAGTTATCAATTAAATGTTCATGGACATTTTTACTAGCTCCCTAGTGTGACACCTTTTGTGGAAATTAAAAAGAGCTTTTGAGCAATGAATAATTTATAGGTCATAATTCAAACCATAGAATTAATCATTAATTTTACAAATTATGACAATCATATAAAATATACCATTTATATAATATAATCTTTTTTACTATCTTACATAAACGTGAAATGCATTATATATCGAGTTACTTGTTTTAGTGTGACATGACTATGTCCAATGTTACACTAAATGACATTAGTCTATAGGTGGTGCTTGGCTGGAGCATTTAATGCTAATGTTTTGGTACTATGCTTTGGTATATAATTTTATATTTTTAGGTCTCCTATTTTCGAAAAAAACTTTGCGCTGAAATATATTCCATTGGAAATAATGTTGAAGACAAACTTTTATGAATTTTAAGCTTTGGGTAATGTATTGCCTACATAACCAGTATGGAATGATGTACACTTGAAGTTTCTGTCGGAATTTCACTATTATCAATCATTATAAAATAATTTGTTTTTGAGTTTTAACACGATCATATCAACACTAATGCATCGAATATATACCATCAGAATTTCGAAGTTAAGTGTGTTTGGAAGAGAGTATTATTAGAATGTAGGGGTATACCATCAGAACTTCGAGTTAAACTAATAATCAAGCCAATAAGATATCTTTCGTTGATTTTGGTACTCGCAACCTTCAGGTTGGAAGTGAGGGGGGCTTACCATCTGAGCAACTCTCTCTCGTCGGTCTTTAGTGATTTGATTTTCAGTTAAACTAATAAGAAATATTCATAAAAAAATTATATGACTTCTCCGGCATTTTAGGACAATAAGATAATAATGTAACTTTACGGATGCTCATAAAATAAAAATAGTAGTAACTAACATAAGAGAACTATACAAGTGCAACATAAATAAAAAAAATTAAGACAATAATGTGAATTGAAGGCTAGAGGGCAAGATAGTAACCAATAAAATATTAATATTTAATATTTATATAAGGGTAAAGTAGTAAATTAAAGTTGTCAATTCGATTTAATTTATTAATCGATTCGATTTTTTATCCTACTAATGGGTAATCCCATGGGAAGTCATCCTGTTGCATGCTTCCTTTTAACCAACATGGATTGTAGTGCAGTAGTGAAACTGCTTCAATCTTAATCAGAGGTTTTAGGTTCAAGTCTTGAATATAGAAAAATTCATGTGGAGAGTGTCACCATCAAATAGGTCTTGCAATGTGCGATTCAAATTAAAATTGGAGCCAAATTATATTCCAAACACCAAAAGCCATACCCAAATATAACAAAATATGCCTCCACGCATTGATATATTGCTTTTAGTTAATTCGATTTTATTAATCTCAATGTATTTTAGGCAAAAGGTGTTTGATCTCTTACATTTAATTAACAAATTACCGATACTGTGACACGTTTTTGGCATCTGATTTAAGAAATTAAAGACA